TCGTCTTTTACTGTCGAATACGGACACATATTTATTACTGTCAGTCTTTCTAGTATGATTAAATTGTGAATTTAATTATGAAATAATGTTTTTGTCTACCAACAGAGGTAAGGTTTTAAGGATTTTAGTAATTTTTTGTTTTGTATTAATTTGACTCTAATAGAATTTGTGTTGTTAACGGTCTTTTTCACAGACATATTTCTGATTTTTCGGAATTTCATTACACAACTCCACATCCATTATCTTCGATGTATTTACCTCTAGTTGGTGCACAGGAACATTTTGTCGTTCAACAAGAATTGATTCTATTACTTGCATTCTAACTCGGAGTAAAAGGAGTATTGATTTATTATTATTTCGTCGCTTAAGATGGTCTAAATTGCAGACCGAAACGTTCGACGGGGCATCTTAATGTTATTTTGTAAGATCATTAAAAAATTTTTTCGCATTGTTAACTGCGTTTGACTCTTTATAGCCTTTAATTTATGTTTGTTTATTTGTTTTTATTTATTCGTATTACTAAAAAAGATTATGATTTTTGTAAAATTTTGTCTATATTCGAATTACTTCTTAAATTTCCGTTAATATTTTGATAATTTGTTAACATTGAGAATGACCTGATCGGTGTCAAAACGTTTATTTTTATAATTTAAATATATTTTCTTTCTTTTCTCTTCGTTTAATATAAATTGTAATATTTTTATTTCGGCTTGTTGCCCGTTAAATCATATAATATTTATTTATTATTGTCGAGCCTTCTTCTACTGTTTTTACATATTAGTTACTTGTCGTGGTAATATATTATTAAATTTAGATAATATACACTTTATGTATGTTCACTTTGAACTGGTTAATAATATCAGTTACTTTTCATGGTAATGTATTATATTAGATAATATCATTTAAAGTTTTGAAGATTAAATTTTTTTAAAGATAGATAACCATTTCAACTTTTTAAGGTATTATTATTAGACAATCATTTCATTTTTAAAGGTTTAAAATTTTGAGAATCATTTTTTGATAGTCATTTTCTAACAAAATAATAATATTTAAATTTTTTGTGTGGGGGGGGGGGTTATTCATGGTCCGATAATAAAATAGCTCTGTTCACTAATGAAATGATTGTGCCTCTTTTTGGAGAAATCGGGTGATTAGATAAGTAATTGAGATCTGCTTGAAAAACTTGGTTTGTGATCAGTTACGGAGAAATTCGATCGATTTAATAATAACGATGTCAGAGTTGCTTTTCATAGCTTAAACAAATTACAGAAGTATATCAAGGTTCATAAAAATCCTCTTCCCCAGTTATCGAGAAATAATGTAGTTTATAAAATCATGTGCAAGAATTATGTGTGACGCTACTTATGTTGGACAGACGGGTAGACAATTAAAAACACGAAATTCAGAACATCGAAACCATATTAATTGGAACAATTGGCTGCCCACTCTGTCAAAATTGAATACAGATTAAAATTTGATTAAAATCATGATTTTCAATGGGTCAATGTAAAAACCTTAGATGAGGAACCTTATTATGGAAATTATTTTCAGAGATGTTAAATATTAAGAGACAAAATAACAGTCCAAATCTCCAAACAGATAGCGAAGATTTCTACAAAGATTGTATATGGATTATAAATAATATGATTTTGTAACACTAAGAATACTATTTTCTATTTATTGCTCGCAATCAATGTTTTAAATGGTGAACATATCTTTGTTATAGCCCGAATGGCTATCACTTATTTTATCAATTATTTCATTCAACCGGCATAGTAACCGGCACCGGAAATGCAAGTCTGCACATTCTTTAAACCGCGCGCGACAAAGCGTCGATCTAAGATCGTAGCGCGCGAAATACCTAAATGCACTCGGCATGGCAACCAACAGCGGAAGTGCAAGATTGCACATTCTTTAATCACGCGATCGCGCCTCTAGCGCGACGAATATTACCATATATGGTCCGATCGAAGACCAAAAGCGACATCATCAAACTCAATATAAGCGACCGCCTAAATGCCGAGCGGAGAGTCTT